GGTTTCATCATCAAATTTGGACTCGACGAATTCACTTACTAAATACCTGAAAATTTTTGATCGATTCAATTCTCATTAGAACTGACATGTCCAGCCCTAGGACCAAGTGAAAACGGCAAAAACTTCATCGTGTCCAAACAACTGGACCGTGACAAACAGAGAATCAACGTCAATTAATCTCCTTTGTGGCCATAAATTGATGCAACATTTTTTTCCACGTGAGCCTTTTTATTTTTCTCACTTTTCAACATTAAATTGCACACCAAGTCCTTGAACTTTTGCTCTATTAAGTATGACCTCCAACTTTTCATCTCATCAATTTTGTCCATTTCAATTTTAAACAGACCAAATCAGTCCTTCAACTTTTGTATTTTTGCACTTTTGTCCCTACTTCAACATATTTGTCCAATTTGATCCTTTTTTCCAATTCTTCAATATTTGATCCTAAAAATTTCAAAGACTTTCACGTTCGTCCCTTAAAAACTTTCGAAATTAGTCTTAAGTTTCGAAAATGTGAAATTAGTCCTCAAACTTTCGATAAATTGAGTTTGGCTCTTGAAACTTTCGACTTTCCACCGATTGCTTAGTTGATACTCATTAATTTCGTGCAACCGATCAGCCGTCAATTTCTTTGAATCAACTCCAAATTATCTTAAAATCTTCTTCTTCAACTTCTTGCCCCAAGTGCCTCTTAGTCTAAGTTTTACCTATAATTATCATGTTTAAATTAAATTATGTAGAAATCCACTCAAATGACAAATATTTATCAAGTTAAATAGCAAATAGATGTATGTAAAAATACATTTATCGAGTACTCCCATACTTAAACCTTTGTACGTTCGAAGTAAAATTATCTACGAAACACACAAGCAAACAACAATAAAAATCAATTATTAGATAACTAAATTTGAAATTGCTTAAATATTTCATAAAAGGCTTCTAAGTCATACTACTAAAACTAGGAAGATAAACTCAATCTGCACTAGTATAGTATCACCAGTGTTGTAAATAGTGTGCCTAGGCGAGGCGTGGCAAAAACGCCTTGCTAGGGCCTGGGCAACTAATTAAGCGATCAATGGAAGAGTTGATCGCTTAACGGGCGCCTAGGCACGCATTATTTTTTTATTATGATTTTGTTATTATTGTTCAGTGATTATAAAATTTTCAACTTCTAGCTAATTGGATTGAAAGACCCAAAAAGTTGTTTAACACTCATTGGCCCACTAATTTATAAAGGGTATCTCCAATGATTTTGTTGTGAACTTTTGATTTAGGATGAGAATTCCTTCGGTTTGGCCATGGTGTATTGTACCTTGGTTTGATTATAATATATTGTACTATTGTATAAATAATTAATTAATTTTATTAAGTTAATTAATCATTTTTCCTATCTTTTACTAACTAATAAAAATTAAAAACTCTCAAAATATTTTCAGTTAGCACTATTATACTATATTTTGTTTTTCATTTGAAACTATATTTATTTTGTTAAACTCTTAAAACTGCATTTGGTACTATAATTTGTATGTATTATTAAATGATCTTTAGATTGATTTAAAACTTAAAATAATATTAAAATAAAAAAATACTTTTTCAAGCCTAAGTCTCGTCTAGGCTCGCCTAGCACGAAACTTGATCTCAATGCCTTGCCACACATTACGCTTTTTAAAACAATGATTATCGCTACAGTTTACAAGTGGATAGTACATGAAAGAGAACGCCCAGTGGAAACTCTACTCTTAATCTCTCAATCTCTTTTCAAAGTGAAGAAATTACACGTTAGCTCAAGAAAAATACCCGAAACCAAAGAGAAAAAGCTCTCTGAATCTAAAGTGGAGAAAAACAGAGGAATGCAAATTTATATTAATTGAATAAAATCGAGATCAATTTATTAATTGTCTCATGCTGTAGATGCGAGATGAAAAACTGTGCCTTTAAACTAGTGTAAAAAATGACATTGTTCCATGACTGATTTTGCGTGAGTAAAGGCAACACCTTTTTATTCGGGATATGTTTGTCCAACTTTTTACAAATTGACAAAGACTAATAAGAGCTCTGAATTTTATTTCGTAGCTGCTTTTTTAAAATAATACAAACTAATTTGATAAACTATCCGACGAAGAAGACATATTATTGAACAACCAAAAGTTAGGTTAAACAATGAAACAAATCAATTTATATATTACAAGGAAATCTAATATAATAAGATAAATATATATTATTATATATATTATCATCCTCCCTCAAACTTGTGATACTAAAGCAAGAAGCAGTGAGAATTTGTCACACAAGAAATAAAAATGGCGAACTAGATGAGACATAGTAAAGAAATCAGCAAGCTGCGACGATAAAGAAACAAAAGGTAGGAAAATGGTGTCAATCTACAAATGATTATGAACCAGATGACAATCAATTTCAATGTACTTTGTGTGCTTATGGAACACAGAGTTGTGAGAGATTTGAATAGTGTATTACCATACATAGGGGTTGGGGAAGAATGAGGAATACCCATATCTGTAAGTAACCATCGCAACCACACAATCTCAATGGTAGTGGATATCATAGCTCGACACTCAGCTTCAGTAGAAAAAAGAGAAACAATAGTCTGATTCTTACTTTTCCAAGAGATAAGAGAATCAGCAAAAAATATACAAAAACCAATGGTGGACTTATGATCAGTGGGATTACTGGCCCAATCAACATCAGAGTAGGCACGGAGCACTAAAGAGGAGGTCGATGGAAATAAGAGATTCTGAAAACAAGTACCATGAAGATAACGTAAAATACGAACAACAGCTACCCAATGAACTGTAGTAGGAGCTGAAACGAACTATAGTAGGAGCTGAAACGAATTGACTAGCAATGTGAATAGCATAAGAATATCGAGACATGTGATGGTAAAATAAATTAGACAGCCAACAATGGCATGATACAAAGTGGGATCAGTCAAAGATACATTACCAGAGGATGAATATCGAGCATTAAACTCAAAAGGGGTATCAACAAACTTAGTATCAGTAAGACGAGAAGATACTTGGGTTGGGGAAGAAGATACCCTCTAGGAGAAGAAGCAACTTCTATCCTTAAAAAATAAGATAATGCACCTAAGTCCTTCACTTCAAAACGAGAAGCCAATTCTAATTTCAAAGATGCAATCACACCAACATCATTACCGGTAATAATCATATCGTCAACATACAGCAAAAGAAAAATGTAACCAGCTGAAGTGCACCTAAAGAATAACGCAGAGTCACGATGACTGGGTGTAAAACCAAGAGAGGTAAGAACAGTGAAAAATTTCTCAAACCAAGCATGAGGTGCCTGTCTGAGGCCATAATGTACTTTCTTGAGCTTGCAAACAAATCTAGGAGAGTGACAAAGACTAGGAGGAGGAACTATGTAAACCTCCTCTTGAAGATTTACATTCAAAAAGATATTTTTGACATCCAACAGAGAGAGACTCCACTGACGAATAGATGCAACCGCAACAAGTGTACGGACAGTGATCATCTTGGCAACAGGAGCAAAAGTCTCCTCATAATCCAAATCACATTGCTGATTAAAATAATATATAATAATATATATTTATTTTATTATATTAGATTTCCTTGTAATATATAAACTAATTTGTTTCATTGTTTAACTAAGTTTTGGTGGCTCAATAATATATCTTCTTCTATAAGAGATTTCAAACGTATTTCCCCAGCTGCAAGTTTATAAACCACTGAATCAACTGAGGGAAGTGGAGTGCAGTGCAAGATATAGCCTCAATCCCTCAAAATCACGGTGAAATTCCATAAAAAACTGAACTAATCATTGCTCATCTCTAAAAGTAATATATTCCTCATATCCTTTCAATCCTGCTGATTTCGTAAAAGTTAACTCATCCCAAATTGAATTTATAGCTGTGTAAAACCCAAGAATATTTATATCCTTCTTATGTAAAACTCGTATATCAATCTCCAACTTATACTCGTATATCAATATCCAACTTATACCGCTTTGCAAAGTTGCACTTAGTGTATAATTTCTGAAAGTGTTCTCAAACTTCTTTTGTTGTTTCAAACTTCGCTGACCGTATACCAAAGGATTGCTCAACAGAATCATGAATCCAAGTGAGAATTTTCGATTTCTTTGACTCCCAATTATTTAACTTTATTACATAATTTTGAGCAATGATTTTGAGTTTCACAATAGTTCCACTAACATAACCCCATAGTCTTTTTTCTTTTAGAAAATTTCTCATCACGGTACTCTAATATTAGTAATTTTACCATTTAATCTGATACTAATGAATTGAAGTGAATCATATCTTTTAGTTGCCATCATGAAATAAACAAATAAATTATTACCAATCAAAATAAATCACTAAATTCTAAGAAAATCAACAACAACCAACGTGATGCCTCTAACTACCACTGAAATATACTAAACAGTACACGTATACTCAAACTAATACCACTAAAAGATCAAAAACTCATCAAGGAAGAAGCTTCCCTTATCAATCACCTCAAAATTCGCATTCACACGTCTACAGGTGCCGCAAACATCCTCTGAGCGTGACCCCAGGCGCCTCCATCACCGTCACACGTTAAACCGGAAGCTTCTCCTCAATCTGCAGAGCACTGATATGGTCTTAGTCTCTTCATACAATGTCCAGTTTGGCCAAAAAACAAGAAAATAGGTTCGGTTGTGGGCAATTTTCTGAACAGAAATTTGTATTGTGATTTTCTGTAGTTTTCACCAATTTTACTCAACTATTGGCTCTAATACCATGAAAATAATACAAACTAATTAGATAAACCATCCAAAGAAGAAGAAGACTACATATTATTGACCCACCAAAAATTAGGTTAAATAATAAAACAAATCGATTTATATATTACCAGGAAACCTAAAATAATAAGAAAACCTACTATAATAAAATAACTATATAATATTATATATAATATCACTTTTAACTGTATGTCCAATTATTTAATGTGGGCACCTCCGATTTTAGGAAATTTTGCTTATGATTCAACAAAATCTTGAGATCTTGTCCTTAGTTATGGAGTGTTAACGCCCTTATTGGAGCCATTTAATGATAAAACAAAACTATCCATCACGAGAAAGGCTGCGAAGACATTGTCAAAGCTTTGTTATGGAGTGCCACAGCCTCAATTCGAGCAGGTTTGTCTTCCAATTGCTTTTCTGTACGATTTTGATGCATATCAATAATTAACCAATTCTACATGGAATTATTGAGCAGGTGAAACCGGCCCTCCTTTCTTTTGCTCGTCTGATTCATACAGACAATGTTAGCCATGCATGCATGGCACTATTCCTTCTAACTTCTGGGAAAGAGGATATAATCCAAGATGTGATTGATGCTGGTGTTTTTGCTCGTTTGGTTGAGCTTTTAGTGTCAGTGGAAAATTCCTTGATTTATGATTTTTAAATTTGGTTTTGTTTATTGAACTTAGTTGTGCTTATTTGGTTAGCGGTTCGCAGATATTCTCCAAATTTTGTTTTGATACCTGCCCTGTACACTGTTGGTAAAATTATTCAATATGTTGATGATATCCAGATTCAGGTATTAGCTAACTCTTTTTCTTAACTTTAATTAGAAAACTTCCTTTTGAGCACATGAATTTGTTGTTATGTGGTATGTTCACTGTTCCAATGGTATATTTCACAAACCATATCTTGTTTACTTGTTTCGAATAAAGCGGTGTACCATAAGCCATTTGTTCTTTTATCAGTTTCGATGGTCTACATTTGTATTTACCTTAGGTGGAGAGTGGTGTCCTTGTCAATGGTGCATTGCTTGATCTTTCAGGGTTCAGATATATATTCATTTTGTAAATGCAATCTTGTTGCTTCTGTTGCTAAATAATCTTTAGAAGAATGGTTTCAGTCCTTATTGTTTTGTCATATTCATGATGTTCGGTTTCGATACAATGCTTATAATATGTTTGAAGCGCATACCATCTCTAGGAATCAAAAAATTGTACAAAATTCAAAAGGTACTCTCTGAAATTACTGCTGGGATGTGAAAATGCCAAGGGTGTGGTTTCAAATATACACAAATGCACATCAAGGGTCTGCGAATGATGGAAAAGATTATTCATTATATTTTTGAAGAAATAAGCATTTCCAAGTAACTTCTGTTGTTACCTTCGTCATCTTATACTCCTCTTACAGAATTGTAGGTGAAGTTAAGAATAGATCAGCTTAAGTTTAAGAAAATTTTGTTCCTAAACACGCTTTTGGAATTGCTCTTATTCTTTTGCCATTATCCTCTGGTGTGTAGCTACGTTGAATTCATTAAATTGAACCATATTTGTGGTTCTCAAATTGTATGAGGGTCTATCTTGTATGCCATTGTGCCATACTATAAAGAGACAATCCAATTCTTTAATGAACCATTTTTTATTCGAAACCAGTATAAGTAATAAACCTTTATACTCTTTGACCACTTTTAAGGAGAACTCACTCCGTGATTAAGGATGTCAAGCAATGTTATGTTTTTTACCAACTTGCTTCTGTTGAATGATTTCCAGGTTATTATCGACAAAGGGGCTCTTCCTTGCCTGCGTAACTTTTTGACAGGAAAGTACAGGAAAATTGTCAAGCTGAGCACGTGTTGGATCATTATATTATTCATTCGACGGACTAACGATTATATTCAGGTACGCAAGTTGCTATGAAATTGTTTTTGCTTTTGCAGTATCACTCGATGCATTCATAATCAGTGCCTTGAGATAAATGAGCAATATTTTTACGGTTTTTCTCAACTGGAAAAGGGGAAGAAATGATGTCAGAGTAAAGACATTTTTATATTCCCCCAGTTAATTATTGTTTTGAATGACATGACTGAAGATTTTTCTCTAGCCATCTTTCACAATTTTTGTCTCGTAGTAGTACTTATGTTTCGATAAATTTGTCATTTTTACCTTTTTTTTTCTGTTTTTAAGTTGAAATCCTCCATTTATCTCTTAAAATGACGGATGCTGAGGATATGTATATTGCATTTAACAATAATCGTGCTAAAAAAACAAGAATCACAATTCTAAATTGATAATTTAAGATTCATACCTACGGAAGACATCTTAGATATGAATATTAGCAACTAGTTGTTCCTCAAAATACTAGCCGTCAATGGGCAAGCCAATAAAACAATATATGGAGATGGGACATAGCCTTTATATAGGAATTTATGAAGTCGTTCCATTTAACGACTTATTGGGCTTAATCACAGATACTTAAATTACCATATTATATAAAATATAACCCGTAAAGTGTAAAATGGTCCAAGTGATCACCCAACATATTGGGCTTAATCACAGTATCATTATGAGTCATATATCTAACCCGTAAAATTTGCAATCAAATGGGAAGTCCATATTTTTAGAATTATTCTAACATTTTCCCACTTGGACAAACATTTGATTGCTATAAAACAATACTTTTGACTTCCAAGTTAGACTACATATGCGGCTACACAAGTATAGCTCCAATGATAACACCTTAGTCAACATGATCCGGTCTAACAAGAATGTCAACATTGAACATGGAAGTCATTACACCATTTAAACAATGTAGGACCACTCCACGGCTACAAATGCCAACATCCTTATCGACATAGATCCACCTCCTCCAACTAATGTGGCAACGTGTAGTATGGACTTGCACAAAATGTGATAATAAACTCTGCTAATTCATATCGGTCCTCATAATGCTTCAAATCAAAATGAACCGCACGTCTCTAAAGGAGACTCATCTTATGTCTTTATCTATTATATCTCGATATCATAATAATATCATAATAAAAAGATATAAGCCAAATACATACTCAAAATAATTTATAGATAGGGAAAATATATTTTATTATTAGAAGGGGTTGTACATAAAAGACATATAGATTGCCTACGTACTCCGCAAATGGACTAAACCAAAACGTAGTTCTTTTACATAAATAACTCCCAGTAACCAAAAAGTCAAAGGTTTCCACAATACCCATATTAGCAATATGTTCTATTTTCGTCTACCCTTCCTTAACTTTATCTCTAACCACCAAATAGTTGATATCAATGTGATTTGACCCACCATAACTTTTATTATTCCTTAAAAAGAATACTACTGTGCTATTGTCACAATAAATAATGATTAGCCTCGAAATGGAATAAACAATTTTCAACCTAAAAAAAAATTCCTTAACAAATGGCTAGGACTGTAGCTCCATAACATGCCATAAATTCAGCCTACATAATAGAAGATACCACTAGAGTCTACTTACAATTTTTCAAGAGATAACACCACCGGCTAATATGAAAATATAACTTGAGGTTGATATCAAATCATCTTGATATCCAACAAAATCAGATTCAGAAAAGCCTACCACTTCAAGATGATTTGAATGTTAGAAAGTAAGCATGTAGCTTTTAGTTTTCTTCAAGTATCTCATAACTTTCTTAACTACTTTCAATGCTACTAGATTCGACTGAAACCTACTAAGAACACTGACCGCATAGGCTATATTCGGTCTAGTGTAAACTTAAACATACATCAAACTCCTCACAGCACTAGCATATGGTATCATCTTCATAGATTCCCTTTTTAGCTCTTCCTACGATATTGAGCTAGGGATGACAATTCAGCTCGAGCCGACTGGCTCAAGGCTCGGTTCTACTGAGCCTCATTTTGGGAGGACGGGCCAAGCCTGAGAAGGAAAAAAAATTAGGCAGCCATAGCAGAATTAGGCTGCCGACTGTGGCTGCCTTAAAATGTAGCCATTTAAAAAAAAAAAAAAAAAAAGCCTGCACGGCTCGGCCCCTAAAGCCCGAGCCAAAAGCTCGGGTCAAGCAAAATTCTTTTGGCCGAGCAGCTCGAAAAAGGCTCGCTCACTTTACCCGAGCCTAGCCCAAGCCTCAAGTTTCGACTCACAAGCCAGCTCGACTCGACTCGTTGACATCCCTATATTGAGCTTTGATAAACTTATCTCCTTTTATAATATTACATCACCAGGTATACAGTTCTGCATATTGAACCTTTCTAGAACACATAGTATATAAGCCTCCTGAGAAGTCCCAACAAGCCACGATTTCTATCACAATGTATTTCAATGCCAAACACATAAGAAGGTTCTCCAAGATCTTTCATCTCAAAATTTTTAAATAACATTTTTTTTGTCTCAAGAAGCAACGCTAAGTCACTACTAGCAAGCAAAATGTCATCAACATACAAGGCAAGAAAAATAAAATTTCTCTCATCGATTTTGAGATAAATGCCTTTTTCAATCGTACTTTCAACAAAACCAAGAAAAGCTATCATGATACTTGCTTAAGGCCATATAAGGATTTGTTTAACTTGCATATCAAGTTTTCTTTTCTTTTCATAACAAAGCCTTCAGATTGTTTCATGTAAACCCTTTCAGAAAGATCTCCATTTAGAAAGGTTGTCTTAATATCCATCTAATGAAACTCCAAATTATAGTGTGCCACAAGTGGCATGATGATTTGAAAAGAATCTTTGGACAAAACAAGTGAGAATGTTTCATTATAATCAATGCCCTTTCACTGAATGCCCTCTTCCAACCAATTTTGCTTTCTTTTGTTCAACATTCCCTCTCGAATTCAATTTGCTTTTGAAGATCCACTTGTTATCTATGGCTTTAGCATCTTGAGGAAGTTCAACAAGTTCTCAAACTCTATTCTATTCAATAGAATTCATTTCATATTTCATAGCATTTATCCATTTATGTGACTCAGGACTTGTCAATGCTTGATTATAAGTAACAGGATCAACAATATGCCCAACATTAAAATCACTCTCCAATAAATAGGTAATGTAATCATTTGATAATGTAGACCTTCTTTTCCTTTACGATCTTCTAATTTGTGGCTCAGCAACTAACTCAATCGTTGTTGGAAGAAGAATTGAAAATTCCTCTTAGTTCCTCAGTTCTTCATTAACAATTTCAACTGGTTGAGAAATAACTATTTCCTATGTAATAGGAACTGGAACAATAACTTAATTTGGTTCAACAAAGAGTTCTTTCAATATAGAACTCTCACTATCACCAAAATTATTCTCCAAAAATTTAGTAGTAATGGACTCAACAATTCTAGTGCCATGATTTGGATAGTAAAACTTATATCTTTTTTATTTGTCGGGTACTCAATAAAATAACTAGGAGTGGATTTCAGGTCTAATTTCTTTTCAAAGGAATTATAAATCCTTACCTCAGCTGAACATCCCAAACTTTGAAGTGAGGCTAACTTGGCTTACGTCCTGTCCATAATTCAAAATGTGTCTTTGCAATAGCTTTACTTGAAACTCTATTCAAAATATATATTGCAATTTTTAAGGGTTCACCCCATAGATATTTTGACAAATTTGTTCTACTTATCATGCTCCTGACCATATCTTTCAGAGTCCGATTACGTCTTTTAGAAATGACATTTTGCTCAGGTGTCCCTAACATGGTGTATTGAGGCACTATCTCACACCCTTGTAAAAACTTTACAAAATTACCCATGTTTTGATCAGACTCGTCATATTTCCTATAGTACTCACCAGCACAATCAGATCTTACAACTTTTATACTTTTCTCAGATTATTTCTCTACTTCCATTTTGAAAATCTTGAATTTCTCAAGTGTATGAGATTTATCATTAATTAGGTAAACATATCCATATCGTAAGAAATCATCAATAAAAGTTATAAAATATTTGTTTCACCATATGGTGGAAGGTAAATGTCCATTGATATCAGTATGTATCAAGTCCAAAATACTATTACTCCTAGTGGAACATTTCCTTGTAGACTTAGTTAGCTTTCATTTTATACAATCCACGCAGACGTCAAAGTCAAAGAAGTTTGGAGAGGGAAGTATCTCAATTTTTACCAATTTCTCCATTCTATCCCTTGAAATGTGGCCCAACCGCTTATGCAACAACGTAGAGGATGATTCACTGATTAGAGCTTTTTTCTTTGACATATTGGTAACACAAAAGGCTTCACCAAAAAGAGCCAAAAAAACTATACCAAAATCATAAAACAATTCAACCATTTCCAATACTAAAATTAAAGGCCATTCCCAATCAAAAACGAGAATCATAAAACAATTCAACCATTCCAATACCAGAATTAAAGGAAAAACCAGAGGCATCAATTTTTGATATAAAAATTAAATTCCATCTCATTGTTGGTACAAAAACTGTATTCTCTAAAACAAGAGAGAAACCAGACTATTAAGGACAATTTCACTACTCGTACGAAGCATCAATTTTCAATATAAAAATTAAAGGAAAGACCAAAAACATCAATTTTGGATATAAAAATCAAATTTCATCTCATTGGGGGTGCCCACCTCTCATGCAGGCGATGGCGCGCATCTTGACTAAGTTCCAGCAGGCGAACAGCTTTTAGTATTTTTGTCATAATTTTCTCTCCGATATTCGATTGAGGTGATTCAAAGTGTGTTTGACAGCTTACTCAGAGGCTATAATTCTTCATTAAATATCATTTTTGCAATTCGAAAGTTTCATATGACAAAATTGGGTCTCAATATGAGACTAAAAAATCGAAACATAACTTTTTCGATCGAAAGTTGATGTAGGATAATATTTTGACTATAATTCATCTCTTTGATTTCTTTCCTCATCTAATTGACTCCATTCACTCTCAA